TAAATTAAAAAATTCGCTCCAATCGTCACTGCTGTAATCAATTGCTTCATTCGTCACAGCTACCAAGCCGACCAATCATAGAGCTTGTGCTACGCGACATGTAGTTACATTTTTTGAAAGGTGAGCATCAGCGCCAGCCACAGCGAGGGCTGTGTGACTGTATGAAGGACCATACGCGTGCGCTTGACGCAGAAGTATAAATCAGCCTTAAGTCCCTTATTTATCAGGGGTCACCACGGTGGAATGAACCACCAACTATTCCAGTGTATATTTTATGCAGCGCCCTTCCAGCCACAACCCAGTACTGGAACACTTTCACATTCACACATGCACTATGGCCATTTAGTTCATCCAATTCACCTATAGCGCATGTCTTTGGACTGTGGGGGAAACCAGAGCACCTGGAGGAAACATGCAGAGAACATGCAAACTCCATACAGAAATGCCAACTGACCCAGCCAGGACTCGAACCAGCAAACTTCTTGCTGTGAGGCGACAGTGCTAACCACTAAGCCGCCCACAATAATAAACTTATATAGTAAATATAATTTACTAAATTAATAAGTCAATACATGATCATTCAATACATTTATTTTAATAGACAATAACCTAAATAAATAAAAAATCCTTCCTGTTTCCACACTTAAAAGTGTTCATTTAGAATCCTTCTGTATTATCTGTACACATACTCCTAACTTTGGTTTAACAAAGCCAGCTAAACTTCATCAAGAACACATTAAATGTATACAATCACATTTTACAGGCAACAATTTCAAACATTATTTATGAACAAAAAGTTTCTTCCTTTGTAATTCTTCCATTCCACACGCCCCCAAACTCATAAAGTTAAGGCTGACAGAAAATCCTGCTGGTCCATCTCTTAAGCTGCAGTATGGGTGGGGGTTAAATAAGGTCTCAGCCCAGATGAAATTAGCAGAAAGCAAATGACAGATAGAGGAGAAATCAGAAGGTGGCAGCAGCGTGGGTTCACTTCCTGTGCCTGGATGGCTTGCTTGCTTAAACGCGCTGGAGATGGCCGCACACGTTCTTTATGGAGCTCCCATGACATGCCTTGTCCTGCTGATGCACATTTTTCTCCTCTGAACGGCATATGAGCTCTGTCACTACTAATATTCACATCAGGGTGAGGCATCAGTCTCAGTGTCACTGAAAAATGCCCTCTGTTGTTTTAAACTCAAAGTGGCCTTGTTTTATAGAGGCTGTGCCCCTGAAACAGAGAGCCGCGAAGGGCCTTATGAAAATGCACACTGAGGGCTTTATTTAAACTCAACAAAAGAAGTGTAGCTTATGAGTTATAACATCAATGAGACAGAAAAAAATTTTGTAAGTGGAGAGGAATGCAACCATTTCAGACTACTAAACTCCTTTTTTTCTTTAAGCTTCCTTTTCATGTGTTAGCTCTGCTCTGTAAAAGTATTTCAGAGAATGAAAGGCAATTTTTGCATATTTTTGTGTTAGAGATTACGCAGTTTGTTATGTAATGCACAAGGAATTTTGTTCTCTGATGATGTCTACGCAACAAATTAACAATGACAGGAAAATGAAAAAAAAATGTTGTTGGCAACCACTGCCACATGCATCAAAGATGATCCCTATCTCACTCTTTTAAGGCAAATGGCCTATAATGACAAGAATGCTAAAAACTGAAGGAATGTTCTGATTATGTGATATTTTTAAGCCAACATTGCCTTGTTTTCCCATAAGGTAACCTCTCATGTCATTCTAAACTAGTTATTCATTTATTCTACAAAAATTAAGTTGTTTTTGCAAAATACAAACAGCTTTTGTAGAGTTTGTTTACATTAACATAACAAGCAGAGATCTATCAAATAAGTATGTTTATGTTTACATGCAACATGAAATTCAAATGTTAAATAAGACAGTAATGTCAAAGCCTGAATATCAAGCCTGATCTCACGAGGAAACGTAAGTATTTAAACGTTATTTTACGAGTTCAGTCGTACAAAAATGTACAATTTTAAAAAGGAGGCGTGGCACCCAACCCCACCCATCATTGGGTGATGAGCAAATCATACTAAATTGTACAAATTAGATCACACAAATTCATACAAATTAGCTACTAAATCAAAAAGTTATGAATTGCCGTGAGATTGTGTTGGAATATCAGCTTCAGTTGCTCAAAATCATTGGCAGGAAATCTATCAGATGCTGTGATATTTTATGTTAAAACACTTGGTACCTGTGAATGCACCACTTTTTTGATTGGGTGATTCTGCCTAAAATAGGCAAGGGACAACGACCGTTTTTAAGGTCTACCACAGTTTGGAAATGTCAAGGTTTTAAAACCGACAACATTTTCTTTTAAACCACTTTTGTAATTATATGTAAGAAAGTATATGTAAGATTTAGTTTACATTTTCTTTTTTGTTTTTTAGCACAAAAATATCGCCAGCTGAAAACATATTCAAATGTCACCTTAAATTGTAAAGATCAATGATTGATTTGAAATATTTAGCCTGACATGTTTACTGCTCCTAAATATTTTAAATGTTTCTCAAAATAAAATATATTGTGTTCAAAGGGGGAAAAGTACTTTTTTTTTTACCTAGACAAAAACAATTTTTTTAGAGCAGTAATAACAATACAGCCAATATCCATGCCTTGCCTTAAATCTGTCAGTCAATAACATAAATTTGTGCTTTATTACAAATGCCTTGTTGTGTACAAAATATTACTGCCACCCCTGTCTAGGAATACCTGCTCAAGCTCAATACGTGTCCACAGTGAGGACTTGTGGGAGTGGTTAGTCTTGATGGAATTTATGTATAACATTTGGAAGGAAATTCATGTGTGAGGTGTAGCTTGCGTGTACAGGCATCAGACATGCGGACAGGAATAAACGGCTAGAACACTAATAAAGGCATTTACATGCAATGTGAAAATGGGGAAGTACCTGTTCTGATCAGATTTTGTTTAAGCCATGTTTAACCAATAAAAGAATGTGGGTAACATGTTTACATTAAACATATCAGCTCAGTGCTTTCCACTGCTTTGAAATATATTTGCGGTGGAAGCTGGACTGAAACATACTTTAACACACGACACATAAATTGTTAACTACATGTGACACAAAAAATAATTTATAATTTAAATAATACTGTTACTGTACCCATCGTTTCTGCTGACAAAGCTGTTGAAATAAAAATTTCCTCTTTTTCTTATTTTTATGCTATTTAGGAGACATCTGCACACAGCTGACATGTAGTACAGTATTGCCAAAGCATGTTAGATATGTATAAAATATATAATATATCAAACATCATCAAATGAATAACAAACACAGCAAATGAGAAATAAACTACAGAAAAAAATGAATATAAACAGACAATATCTCGAAAACGGATAAAATTTAAAAATAATTAATTAATAGTGAAAATATATCGATAGATTATTTAAATGAGGCAAATGAGTTGATTGACCATTTCTAATGTTGTATAAATATTTTGCAGCTAGTTTGGATGTCATTTCGTCCTCTCCAAGTGTACAGGAAAGTTTTTTTTTTTTATTTAGATTTAAAAATGTATTGTTTGTTTTTTCTGTCAATTTAACAGCTGTGCACGCTGGCAGTTTTGAAGCCAAGTCAAGCGGTCTATTAAAACTTGTGTAGTCTGAGAAAAAAAAAGTAATGCAAAAACGCAACAACTTTAGAAAGCAAAAGTCGACTCCAGGATATTTTAGGAGATTTAGAAACACCAGCTGGATGCATTTTGAAGCCTCTAAAAGACCATTTCTGTGAATGTCTGCAGAGCATGCGAAACTCTCTGAGGAAGTGTTGTTGACCGTTCCCGCGCACACACATCGAGCATTACGAAATGGGGTAAGAGTAGATTTTCCTCTTGTTAATCGAACGTGGATGTTGGGTTATATTGAGCGAATACAAAAAAGTGTAAAAGGATTTTAATATTGGTAAAAAATGTATCATCAAATATACGTAATATACCTGGGTGGCCAGCCCAAGTAAAGTCTATGTGTGGGAAATCAATAAATTAACAAACAAGGTTTGATATTAATAATATCAAATGCTAGCAACTCTACAGCTACATATCACAGTGCATCTCTCACTTGACAAAATTGGGATTTAAGACCTGTAGTAAAGTGGTATACTCCAAGAAATTTCAGCTTAAATTTTGTCCTGTACATTAAAGTATGACACAAATTTATACAGTAGGACTTGTTTTATCACTTAAACAGTCATAATAAACAACATGTATGGTGCTTTATGACATTTAAGCTCTCAATAAGCAGAAACAGTAGGACCTTCAGCAAAATATCTTGTTTTAAAATTACACTCTTTTAAAAGCTCCTACCCAGAGCTTTGTCCTAGATGTAAAGCAGATAGAGGGACTCTCCTACATATGCTGTGGTCATGTCCTGGCTAAGAAGAATATTGGAAAGAGGTCTTAGAGGTCATTGCCATAGTTGTACAGTTGTAAAGGTACTAATGGAGAGCTTAGACGTACCCTCCTAGGAGATACTGCACTACTTGATCAACAAAGAATTAATCTGAGATTTGTCAGACTAGCCCTCCTAACAGCCATAAAATACATTCATCTTTGAGATGGAAGGATTCAAAACCACCTTTTACTTCCATGTGGATTAAAGAAGTGTCATCTTATATGCCTTTGGAAAAATATCATTTCGTTTGAAAAAAAAAAAAAGTGTCAAGATTTGTTTGTCAAATGCTGGGGCAGCTTTATTTCTAACTTGAGTGTAACAGGACAGAATGCTTACTGTAGATAGAACCTGACTTATTTATGTTTACTTGTTTAAATTTATTTGTGGCACTATAAAGGTTTGGGGCATGTATAGGACAGTATGTGTGTGTATGAAAAATCTAAAAACCCAAAAAAATATAATGTTCCAAAAAAAAAAATATTGGTTTGAAACGACATGGAACGAGTATTTAATGACAGAATTTTCATCAATGTGTCCATTGTGGCAAATGTGTGTGTGCGTACCTGTGAGTTAGCCAGCTCTTGTGTCAGCTCCTGTATTTTCTTCTGTTGTTGGACCAGCAGCTCCTGCACCGAAGCCAGGGTCATCTGCAGCTGGGTGACTGCATCCAAAAACACACAAATGAAGGTAAGACTACACCCAAAACAGTTACCAGAAGTTCACAAGCAAGAAAAGCAGCAGCTCGAGTCCATACGCAGTGCGAACGGACACATCTGTTTGTCTGAGAGCATTACCGACGATCAACATGCAGCGGTTTTCTCTTTGATTTAGCCTTTAGCTCAATCAGTAATATAAGACACCTCTATTTGTAGAAGATTAATCACCTACGTCTGCTCTTATATCAAATCAGGGTCTCTTAACCTCCATTAGCATGGCTTTGAAACGCCGGCTCTATCAAACTCTCCAAACAATCAACAAGATGGAAAAAAAGCCGCTCATTTGGGAGGCAGGAGGGCTAGACGCTTCTGTCCTCACTAATCTTACTAAATACAGCTCATTTTCCTCCCTCTCTGAAGATTGAATTATTGTCAGATTGTGCTGGTCCCGAGGATTAGAGAAAGCCCAAGAAAAACAGCCCTAGCAGGGCCAGAGTTGGTGTTATTAATGGGGGTATCATTTCAAATAACCCAGAGCACAAGTTGCTCTCCCCCTGTTTCCAGTCACACATGCATTCCCAAACAATGCATTAAGTTTCCAAACTGATTATGTTACAGAAAACCAATAAACGCCTCTATAAATCATGCTCTGTAAAGTGTTAAATCAACTCTAATTGGATTAACATCAGCAGATATTATTAGCTGCCGACTGTTGGCTCTCCGGCGCACTGTTCCAGGGCTCTCCTTTCATAGGAACAGCCTTTCCACTCTCTGCTTAAGAGCTGTTACATGTTTCTTTCTCTTACAGCCTTTGTCTGTCTCATTAGGTGACTACTTACAGACTAAGAAATGCCAAACTGTTTTTCTTACTGAATAATAATGACGGTACAAACTGTTCCTTTCTGATGTCTGTGTTAGTATTAACAAGAGATTTAAAATCCCATTTATTAACCTGTCTCTGAAAAACGCATTTTAAAGTTGTCATGAATTGAGAAATACACTTTTCTTTATATTCTGACACATGCTGCACTATAAAAAAACATTCTGTCAGTTTCCAAACTCTGAGTGTTCTTGTTTTTAGTGAAAATCTCAGTGACAAAATAGCATCTCTGCAGAAGATTGAACACCTACTTCTTTATCACTGCCTCTTTATCACCGTTCTCTCATGTACACATAAAGATATATAACAAAAGACATGACAACAAATGTTTTTGTGTTACTTAGACCTATTGTTAAAATTTAATCAGGTTTCAACTATTTTTTTTTTTAATTATACAAAGTTTAACCAAATTTTTTTAGTCAGTTTGATGATGATGATGTTAGTTGAGAGAATGTTTTTTTACAGTGTTGTAGAACTAGGGCTGGGCTGAAAAACTATATCATATCGAATCGCAATAAAATTCATGTCGATAATGATGATAAGCTGTGTACATTTTTACTCCATATTGATCAATGCAAAGAGCCAATCACACAGCAGGCAAATGCAACAACAAGAATCTGTAATTGTATTGATATTAGAGATATGTCACCCAGTACTGCAGTTTAGCAGTAAGTTAGTAATGTGTATTTATCTAGCGCATTTATTGTGTATGGTCATACACCCAAAGCGCTTCACAATCATGAAAGGGGGTCTCCACACTCCACCTCCAGTGTGCAGCATCTACTTAAATGATGTGACGGCAGCCAGAGTACATCGCTCACGACACACCAGCTATAGATAGAGTAGAGAGACAATGACGGAGCCAATTCGGTGGATGATTTGGAGGCCATGATGGTTAAGGGCAGATGGAGGGAATTTGGCCAGGACACCGGGGGTTACACCCCTTCTCTTTACCACAGAGAGTCAGGACCTCCGTTTAACATCTCAACCCAAAGATGGCGCTCACTGACAGTATAGTGTCCCTTTCACTTTACTAGGGCATTAGGACTCACACAGAGCGCAGATTGAGCGCTACCAGCGGGCCTCACTAACACCACTTGCAACAGCAACCTAGTTTTTCCATCTGGTTTTCTCCCATCCAGGCACTGACTAGGCTCAGCCCTGCTAAGCTTCAGTGAGCTTCAGTAACCGATCTTGGGCTGCAGGGTGATATTAGCAAGCTCGATTCGACTTTCCTGACAGCAGTATTAGCTGTTAACTGTTGTTTATTTTAACGATAAATATTTTTACCATTTTAAGTCAAATATTTATTTCAAAATAATTCTGTAATTGTTTATTTTTAGGGCGAGGCAGTGGCGCAGTGGGTAGTGCTGTCGCCTCACAGCAAGAAGGTCGCTGGGTCGCTGGTTCGAGCCTCGGCTCAGTTGGCATTTCTGTGTGGAGTTTGCATGGGTTTCCTCCGGGTGCGGGTGCTCTGGTTTCCCCCACAGTCCAAAGACATGTGGTAAAGGTGAATTGGATAGGCTAAATTGTCCGTAGTGTATGTATAAATGAGAGTGTGGATGTTTCCCAGAAATGGGTTGCGGCTGGAAAGGCATCCGCTGCGTAAAAATGTGCTGGATAAGTTGGTGGTTCATTCCGCTGTGGCGACCCCGAATTAATAAAGGGACTAAGCCGAAAAGAAAATGAATGAATAAATGAATGTTTATTTTTAGAAAATGCAATAAGTATTTTTGTTTGTGTACTGTATTTATAATATCAAAGACAGTTATTATATTTTATATTGTATATTATAGAAAATCTGAATATGTAAACCGTTTATGTTAATAAACAATGTTTTAAAATGTTATATAATAAATTGCTTAATCTTTGTTGCTTCAGTCATTGTTGGGAAACTCTTTTAAAGCTGGAAGCATTAACAACTTATATCGAAATATATCGTTATTAGGGCTGTACAATATTGGAAAAATTTGACATTGCAACATTTTTTTCTCTGCAATATATATATTTAAAGTAATTAATAAAATCTTTATCAAACTTTATGCTCTATTAAAAGGCTTTGAACTATCTTAAAATGCTTACATAGCCACAGGCCCTAAAAACACATGCACATGATTAACTTTCACTCTATTATGCTTAAAGTCTCCACAAATCTTATGTGTTTTGACCTGTGGTGTCTGTTCATCTATAATCCTAGCTCAACATTGCATAGCTTGCGATTTAACTATTGCGAACACACACTGAAGCCCTAATCGGTATTAGTCAATATGAAAAAAAATATCAAGGTTGCATTTTTGCCATATCGCATATTGTAGAACATATGGATACCTCAAAGGAATAAGATGAGACAATGTGCAGTGCAAAGTTGAAGAAATAAACCAGGCGAGCAAATCACAATTCATCAGTCATCCTGTCTAAAATGAGCACAACACAGCAACTGTTAAAAATCCATGATAGAATTAGTAAAAGTGCTCAGATTAGTCAGAAATAGAGCATTAGTTTACTGTCGTGTGGCATTCAGTGTTGAGAGAATAACCAGTGGGCTCTGATGTCTCTATTTGCATCGTTCCACTCATTTTGATGTATAGACATGCTGTAATATTGTGTCAATAAGACCGTGTTGTTTTGTTCGCCTTATTTTACTGTGGATGTGTTTTTAAGAAAGACAATCCTTGACACAGGCTTTTCAGAAAATACTAAACATAAAAGATGCAGGGCCTATTATGCTGGATCAATAACATACCCATCCATAAGTGTGACTAACAGTGTTTTTACCATGTGTCACTGCTGTTATGCCCGTTACAGATCGTTGAATGCACATTTGAACTTGGTTCATACAGTCGCATCACACCTAGTCATGTGTGCTTTAAAAGCTATGATGGATGAAGGTCCTCAGACAAACCTATAATACAGAAATCTGCAAACCACACAGAAAATTAGTAAAATATGCAATAAATGAACCCTTTACAAAAAGAATAACTTAATCAATTATAATAATTTTGTTTTATATGCAATTGTGGATGACTAAAAGTGGAATTCACTATTAGGAACTCAAATGTTCTGTAAAAACATATTGTTAGAAGGTATCCTTGGTGCCATAAATTGTTTGAATCCTTCAGGCAACATCTCCTAACCCTTCCAACCCTTTCAGAGCATTGTTTCCTTGGTAAAGTCATTTGAATAACATAGCCTAAAGGTCTATAAAGCAAATGTCACCACAGCTTATGTCAACAGCAATTCCTGTGATATTACACACGAGCAGCAACTGCACCAAACATTCGCTTCATACTCAAAACACGCAAAATAATGCCTCCATTCAGCGTGGCTCGCATTTCCACAAACCTTCTCTTTGGAGAAAACAATTGGGCGAATTTGAGATCCTGCAAGTGGCTTCGCAGCTGCTGCTGTGAAGAGGCAGACAGTGTGTATAGCGTAAATTATTCAGTAAATACCTCTATATAATGTACACTGCATATGTCCGGACCTGACTGAGCCCTTTATTGGCCAGCTGGTCACCAATATGCTCTCCGCAGACAAAGAGAGCAAGCGGCAAGCGCAATTCCATTACGGCAAGCACAAGCGTTAGCGCGCGTGCGATGAAGTGCTTCCAAGACCTGTTCATTAATTGCGTGTGGAAAGTTGTTGGGAAATCATAATGGGAGTCAAGGCCTACACTCAAAGGCTGTAGGAGTAATGGAGCCACATTCAAAGGAATACATCACTCCAGCGCACTTGGCACTAGAGAAATACATGAACTTTAACAAAGGAGTGCGGGCAATTGGCAAGAGCGGCAGTCACTTGCTATTACTCACGTTGTGAGAAGAGGGGGAAACTCACTCCGTAATTGCAACCCTCTCCCAAACTGTTAACTGAAACAGTCATTAACTACAATAGCAACTTGGCTACTGCAGCCACAGCAAATTAGATCAACGGCGTGACTGACTGAGTGACTGGGGGTAGGTACAGCACTTCCAGGAGAAAGGAGGGGTGGGAAAAAAAAAAAAGACTGTCAGGGACAAGTGTTTCACAAGGGAAATATGAAAAGCAGCTTCAGCCCGGAACAATATAAATACTCTTATCATCTGAATCTGAATGCGACGCTAAACAAAACAGGAATCCTGCTAAAATCCAAACAAAATGAGGGCCAGACGAGCTGCGTAACACAAAGGAGGGATTTTTTGCATATATGAACCAAAATGGCAATGAAGAGGCTCATTTGATAATCAGATAAAGAAACCCACATCAAGCTTGCACGCAATGGCTCAACAATCGACCTGGCCTTTCGGTAACCCTCCCCAATCCTGAAGCTGGCCAATGTAATGCAGAGACAGAGCTCACTGAAATCACTCGCCTTTATCCAGGAGATCAAAATAAGCAAATTTGGGGCATATAAGATAATGAAAACAATATTACATGCGTAACCGAAAACTAGACTGAGATCTGAAGTTATTGCTGTACATCCAGTTTATTTCCATGATTTTATAATGCCAAGATTAATAAAGCTAAACAGCAAGCATACTCGGGGTACGTCCATTTCATACATGACAACTGGTCTTTTATCTATTTTAAGTCATGAGTGCCTGTTTTGCATGTACTGTTTCGCCTTTACAGACCGTGTGTTCTATAGAAACAATTTTCCAAATTTAAATGTTTACATGGTATTGAGCCAGACTGGGAAGAACCACCTGTGGTCAGATTGTATTTATCTTTATTTTTAAACAGCACTGAGTCATTCACTTTTGCATTCTTTTCAGAGTAAAAACTTTGAATAAAAAATTGAATATTAAAAAAGTAAAGTTAAATAAAAAAAATAAGGTAATAAAGTGATGATATGCATAGGTATAAAAAAAAACAATACAGTAAAAGGACTTTAATTTACATAACAACAAAAAATAACTAATATTACTAATAAATTATGATTTTTTAAAAATTGTTATGATGATTAAATGCATTAAATTATTTTAAAATGTTTTAAAGCCTCTGATAAAAAAAATATAAATAATAAATACTTTAATATTGATATCATTTGGTTATTTTTAATACAAATGCATCCATATGCCCTCATTAACTTTCTTTGGACTTAGTCCCTGATTTATCAGGGGCCGCCACAGTGGAATGAACCACCAATTACTCTGGCATATGTTTTATCTGGCGGATGCCCATCCTGCCGCAAACTTGCATTGAGACATATCTTGAAGTATGGTAAAAAAAAAAAAAATTCATTTTATTTTCTTGTCGGCTTAGTCCCTTTATTAATCGGGGGTCGCCACAGCGGAATGAATTGCCAACTTATCCACCACGTTTTTACGCAGCGGATGCCCTTCCAGCCGCAACCCATCCCTGGGAAGGGAAACATCCACACACACACTCATACACTATGGACAATTTGCTTACCCATGAAGCTAATTAGCTTACCCAATTAAGCTGTGCCGGATGTCTTTGGACTGTGGGGAAAACCAGAGCACCCGGAGGAAACCCACGCGAACGCAGAGAGAACATGCAAACTTCACACAGAAACGCCAACTGAGCAGAGGTTCGAACCAGCGACCTTCTTGCTGTGAAGCAACAGCACTACCTACTGCGCCACTGCTTCGCCAAAAATAACATTGATAACCTCACTCACCCTCAAGTGAGTTTAAACCTTTATGAGTTTATGAGCATCTTTTGTTGAACACAAAAGTATAACACAAAAGTATAAACAGTATATATATATATATATATATATATATATATATAGAAGAAAGCTAAAAACGTAACCATTGACTTCCATAGTAGGAAAAAAACAACAAATACTATGCAAATCTGTAGTTTCAGGTTTCTAGTTTGATTCTGAATATGTTCTTTTTGTGTTCAACAAAAGAAAGAAACTCAAACAGATTTGGAACAACATAATTTTCTTTTTTGGATGAACTATCCCTTTAACTTTATAAACTTTACAAAAAAAAAAACAGATAACTCAAATATCTTGACACATTTTTTTTCTACATTTGTCTACAAAAGAAATAAATTCAGACAGTAAAGAACAACCCTTAAGAACAAAAGCAGGAATATGAAAGCTCTAATATAGTAAGCTGCAGGAGTCATTTTGTATTGTTTCTTTACAATGATAAAAACAAAACATAAGAGTGTCTTCTTCTTTGTGAATTGTCATTTACACAGAAGACGACACCCAGCTGCAAGTCACTAACGAGCCAAAGTTTCTTCGGGAAGTGTCCCGCTTTCATGGTTGCCGGGATGTTTAATTACACCGGCTGCGTAGTGGGTAAAGAGAGGGGGAGGAGGAGGAGAGGCATCCCTCTCTGACAGCCGAGCTGAGATTCCTCACCTGTCCAAGGCGGGAGACGCACCTGTCATCGCACACTTAATCACCAGCGCGCTCCGGGCCCAACCGGGGAGCCACACCACCACGCCAAAATTAAAATGAACTTTCTTGCCACGCAGTTAAGAAGGCAAGAAGAAAAAAAAAGAAAGAGAAACGCTGTCATTCCTCTTCCCCTCATTAATATTCTGAGGTTAAGAGCTTTTCAGCGAAACGTAATTAATTGAAGCTGAGCTGACAGTAAACAAGCAATTTCAAATTAAAGCAAAATGACAGGACCGTCATTTGTAAAATGTGAGCAGATTTTGGCGACAGATAAATGAAGGAAAATGTTAAGGAGGAAAAAGTGATGAAGATATTAATCTTCACCTGTCTGTGTCAGCGTGCCACTCATATCCGCGATGTTGCTCTCGATCCGCTGCAGATGCTTCTTGTCCTCTTTGCTGCCCATAATGAGGGGAAGGATGTATTTCTGCAATTAAAAACACGGCACGTTATTAGAATTCCTCTCAGGAACAGGAAAAACAGGCCTGTGGACTGGGACTCACTCATGTCACCATACAGACAAAAGGCTATCTACTAGCGTTAGCGTGCTTAAACAAAAACTAATCAAAAATTCTGATCAAAAATTGTTATGAATTATTAATTAACAGGACCTATTTTGCACCTTTTTACAAGATGTAATACAAGTCTCAGAAGGCCCTAGAAAGAAGATTTCTTATTGACCTTATTCTAAAATGCAGAAGTGCGCCTGTTTTCGCGATTGTCTTAGAACTTCCGATTCAGTCGCCTATGGGAGAAATGACTAGGAATAATAAACGGCAGAAAACGGTCAAACTACCTGCTCTACAAACAAATGTTTGCATGACTATACAGACCAAGTAGAATAATAAAATTAGAAAATATCAAATTGCAACATCAAGCAGCCTAATGAGCAGTTTTTAACGTCAAAATATGAATGGAAGTGAATGAGACCGGAAGTCTCAAGCCAAAAAGATTCAAATGGCAGCGCCCGCTCGTCGGCAGAGAATAAGGTGAATAGAGTAGCATGCTAAAGATGCCCATTTTGCTATTGTGTGTGTTCCTTTAAATGCAAATGAGCTGCAGTTTTCTGCCCCTTTACAGAAGGCAGAGCCTTTACAACCATGGCTCAGATACTCTCAAGAGATCTGTTTGGTTTTATAATGTATCATGTCATCATACTCATCATACTCATGTGATATTGCTAGTTCTTTACATCACTGAAGTTTAAATTCTGCATGGATTTGTAAGACTTGTCAGTTTAAACATTTTTTTTTACACGTATTTACATAAAAAGTTGAATACAACATTTCTTTTTACTTAAACGAGTTCTTTTTTTAGCATTTAATTGTGCATAAACTGTCAAAATCTCAAGCTTCAACCTGATTAATATTTTGTGGAAATCCTAATTAATTTTTTCAGGACTCTAAAAAGATTATAAGAGCAGCGTTCATTTGCAACAGAAATCTTTGATAACATGTTATTACTGTAATGTTTTGACCAAGAGCCCCTTTAAATACATCCTTAATGAATAAAGGAACTATTGCGTATCATTTTTAGATTCAGTATTTTTCTGAAACAATAACAAGGGTTTTTGAACAATCACAATTAGGGGAAAGAATATTGAGCAAATACATTTTTACAGAACAAATTTCACACTAAATTCAAATGTAATTTATTTAATTTTTCTATTTAAATAATTAATTCTATTTAATAAATTAATTAGAGATGTAATGATTCACCAAGAGCAGGTTGGAAATCGGTTAAAATACGTGACGATTCAAACCAGTAGAAATGTTGAAAGAATTGCAATACATTTTTTGAACAGAAGATGACGCTGTGTTTACAGGCGCAAACTTTCGAGCAAGAGGTGGGGCGGTAGTTTAAAATGACACCGGTGAGGTGCCCCAGACAAACACAAACTGTGTGCAAATACTGAAAAAGACGTTTACTTACACTAACAGAACAATAAATATGATGCAGCATAGTGAAAAACTACTGTGACAGACGTTTACACGCAAAAAGCTATTAATAGGCCAAACCACGCGGACCAGGGGATTGGCATCTCCGCTTGCTCCGACGAGTGCTAATGTTGTGGAGATCACACGGCGCATCAGTGTTTTCATAGCCAAAATGTAAAGATGTTTTTCAGACTAAAAGAGAAAAGTTGTTGAAAATCATGACAAAATCATGTATTTTGATATTAGTATCATGAATCGTATCGTATCGCAGCATTAGGTGAATCATTACATCACTTTTTACCACAAAAAAAAGTCCTAGAAGTCTGAATCAGAGATTCAAATGGCTTTTTCTCTGGAAGTAAATGAAGTAATTTAATATTGAAGCTACATTTATGACGGGCTAGATAAACACAGCATGTTTTTATATAGATTACAGTACATCAACACAATATATTAAACAAGGAGGGGAAAAAAATAAATGAATTTTACACGGTACTATTGTTTATGCTTGATGCTTGATTTCACAGTATCGAGTTCGGCACTGAGTTTGGCAACAGCAGATAAAACATCATTATATGAATTACAATTAATAGGCCTGCATTCATGCTGAAAAAAACAAGACCTTTCATTATTATTTTTTTTTAATCCCTCTCAAAAGTCTTGTGGTTTTCTCACTTCATCCACAGCAATTTGCCTCAATGGCTGACACTGAGGCCGAGAATTAAGCATCGGGGCATGACTCTGGGTTCAACATCATTAAGTCTTTTAGCCCACAGGCTGGCTTCTCCATTTAAACATGTCACCTTCTGAGGACAATTGCTTGTCAGGATTTAAGCCTCGTAGAACAACATCTCCAAACACAGAGAATAAGAACCAAAGGTCACACGGCTGACGCTTCCATGAGCTCCTCACGCAGTCGTTGTTTTATTTCCAAACGTGCACGTCGATTTGTTGCTCTCAACAAACAAACAGCACATAGACAAGAAGATTAACACGGCATTTGGTGAATAGCTGGGTGCTTTAAAGCGTAATGTGCATGCGCAGGCTCTCCGTCTGGAAAACAGTTGGCCTTAACAGGTTTTCACAGCAGCACAAGCGTTGTTGACACCGGCGTAAGTAATAAACACTTTTAAGTTGAAAAAATCAGAATGAGTGTCAACACTGGGGTAGTTAATAAGCGAGCTGCTGTGAGCTCTGTTTACAATGTGCTCTATTATAGCATGAATTAGGTAGAGGAGGAGGAGGACGGGGCATATGGTGGCACCGGTGAGACGGTCCTCTGACATGACAGCAGCGAGAGCTTCGCAACAGGGAACTGGACCTCCAGCCACGGGCACAGATCCTATGAACAGCAGAGATGCACGCGGGGGACTGGAGGACCACAAATTGTGTGCGTGTTTGTTTGTATGAAACACAGAGGACTAAAAAGAAAAAGGAGTGGATAGTTTACCCAAAAATGGTTTACTCAAGTATTTACTCCCCCTCAAGTGGTTCAAAAACTTTTTATGCTTATTTTTTTTTTCCTGCTGAGCACAAAAGATAATCTTTTGAAGAATGTGGAAATTAGTAGCCGTTGACATCCACAGTAAGAAAAAGTTTGGATCAAGTGAAGAGTGAGTAAATGATGATCAGGTTTCAGATTTTTACAATTTTATATCCCTTTAATGAGAGTAATTATAAACCCAATTTAGCATTTTTAATGTGTGTGATACTTTACTTTTACATTCACACCAGGAGTGACTTTATTGATTGATTGATTAAATGATTCATTCATTTATTCCTTCGTTGACTCCTTTCATTGTTTCATTGTTTGATTCATTGGTTGATCCATTCATTGATTGATTGACTAACTCAATTATTCATTGACCATTCATTCACCAATTAATTCATTCATTGTTTCATTAGTTTGTTCATTGATTCATTCAATAATTAATATATTTATTGATTGATCCATTCATTAATTGAATAATTCAATTATTCATTAATTCATTCACCAATTAATTTGTTCATTATTTAATTCATTCATTCATTTATAGATTTGTTGATTAATCCATGCATTTATTGATTAATTTATTGATTCATTAATTCATTTACCGATTCATATACTCATTAATTTATTTACTGATTCATTCATTCATTGATTCATTCATTTATAGATTCACTGATTGATTTATTGATTCATTCATTCATTCATTCATTAATTCACTGGTTGATTCATTCATTTACTGATTTATTCATTCATTGCTTCATTCATTCATTCATGCATAGATTTATTTATAAATTGATTGATTCATTAATTCATTTATTTAATGATTCATCAATTCATTTCTTCATTGAATTATTCATTCATTGATTCATTCATTGGTTTAATAATTAACCTATTAATTAATTCACTGATTCATTCATTTACTGATTCATTCTTTCATTGATTTATTCATTGATTCATTCATTGATTCATTAATTAATTTATAGATTCATTTTATAATCCATTTATTGTTCATTGGTTGATTCATTAACTTATTCATAGATTCATTCATTCATTCACTGATTGATTGATTCATTTCTTTGCTGATTCATTTATTCATTAATAGATTCATTGATCCATTGATTGCTTGATTGATTCATTCACTGATTCCCTTATTCATTCATTCACTGATTCACTCATATATTGATTTATTCATTCCTTTATTGATTTATTCATTAATTCATATATTCATTGACTCATTGAATGAATAAATTACTCATTCATTCATTCATTCATTCATTCTTGAATATATCTAGGTCCAAGTCAACAAAGGGCCAGACCAAATGTTTCTGTATTGATATACTTTAAAATGCAATTTATTTAGAAAGCTGAATTTTGAGCAGCCATTACAGTTTGGGAAAATCGTATTTCTAATCTTGCAAATTTTCACACAGCTCAGCAAACCCATAATATTTAGAAACTCAGTGGTCCCTCATAATTCATGGGAGTTACGTTCTAAAAATAACCCGCAATAGGATGAAATCTGTGAGGTAGTCAGCATTATTTTTTACAATTAAATTTTTACAGATGTTTTAACACTGTAAGACCCCTTACTACACACTTTATACACTTTTCTCAGACAAGCATTAACATTTTCACACTTTTCTCTCGTTTATACATTTGCAAAGTAAAAAAAAAATAAGTGCAGTGTTATAAAATGTAACCAAAGATCAAAACCATTTGAACATTTATTTATTCCGTAATGGCACCCTACAGCCACGTAAACGTCTACTTTCCTTTAGCAAGTCTAGAACTTTTTGTGCGACGATTAGCATCTTCAGCACGCTGCTAGTGATTGAAGGTTTATGTAAATTTGGCAAGCTGAATACATTCTGTACTGTACAGGAGACACGGCACAGAGGAGATTGATTGACATTGGTCAACAGCCAGTCAGGACGCAGAACACAATGCGCTGATCAGGACGCACACAAAGCACTGTAGAAAAAAAAAAACACGTGAAATTGCACAATACGCGAAACAGCGAGGCCGCGGAAAGTGAACCGCGTTATAGCGAGAGACCACTGTACTACAATATTCAACATTTGTGTACCTCAATATACATTTTTTTACTGCATATTAAACAGTTTCTAAACTGACATTTTAAAATGTTACTAAATTTTAATGTCAAGTGAACATTCTGAAATCATTATAATATGTTATCATTATAATATATCAATATATATTCATATTAAAATAAATATATATTATATCATTATAAGAGATTTTATTTTTAACAATGTAAAGACTGTACTATGACTTTTAATCATTTTCATGTTTGCTAGAAAAAAGTAGCTTTACAAATTAAATTAAATAAAATAGCTAAATGTTTTCAGACAGCAAAAGTTTAGAGGCAAAAGTGATTCAAGGTGAGTTACAGTATGTGCTAGTATTACTAAGATCAATAGTAGAAGTAACACCTTTCTGAGCAAGCACCAGTATATATGAGTGAAAACAGAAGTTGATGTCACAATCTTGAAAAAGCAGTTTCAAATAGTAGTACAAGAACTCCTATCAAAGGAAAATGTGACTATTTTCTGTTAAAACGACACCGTTTGGCTCTCTATTTTAATAAGAGCAGTCACGTGGGCTACTGGAGACGGAGAGCGGCATTATAGATCGACTGAAGTGGCCGAGCGCTGACGAAAGCTTAGGAAGATAACATGCGTTCCTAATTATGACATCATGGGACTTTCATATGATGTCATTGTAAATGTTGCTCCATTTTCTATCTCTTATAAAGTGCAGTAATGGAGTCCACATGCCACTGCGGGCAGTGTGGGTTTGCAAAAGCAGGGTCTCTCCCTTACCCGTACTGACGGCCCACGCATCCACCCATGCCCATGTAAGAAATTGTGTGCTGATAAGACAAATATATTGCAGTTGGGTTTTTCCGGAAAGGAAAACAAAGAAAAGATCTAGAGGCTGAGATGAGCTCATTCTGGTGACATTGGCCAAACTGGATCAAGGTACTCAATCGCTCTACATCAACGTAAAAACTCACTCAAAGGTACAAATACTATGAAAAGATTGAGTTCTCCGAATAATGAACATGTTTTGAGAAACAGGCAACTGGTGGCAGTTTTAAAAACACATACCCGGTAGAGATGATGGAAGCCAAAGGCTATTCCTGCCAGGATGACAGCCAGGGCACTGTAGTCTCTCCATCTGTAACCTGAGGGACCTGCAGAGACACACACACAACAAACCCATCTATTAGCTAAACCCTCAGAAAAGAAGCTGCAGTAGACCTTCTGGTAGATGCCATATTTACTTTGACATGAATGTGATGTATAGAATTGCAGTGTACTGTATACAATGGCCTCATTTTGCAACACAAGCAGAATGTCTCAGCAACTCATTAATTTGTAATTTTTTTTTGCTTCTGTTTTGTTTTGTTTTTTTGCTTAAGAAGTTGCTGGTAATGAAGATCATGTCAACACTGATTAACAGGGTATTATAATTAACTAAACTAAAACGATAAATGTAAAGTGGCTTTTGTTACTTAAAATAAACTAAAAGAAATGCATCACTTTAATGTACATAATATACCTTTTATATTACATTTTTAACTTATTCCAAGAAAATAATTATCACAATAATTTCTACACAATCGCATAAAAAAAAACATCGGTTTAATTCCATCATCACTCAAAAACTTTCATACAACTTACAACAGACCGTTGAGAGTATACAGTGCAACTAGAAAGTATTCATAGTGCTTCACTTTTTTCTACATTTGTTTGTTACAGTTTTATTCCAAAATGGATTAAATTAATTTATTTCCTCAAAATTCTACACACAATAGCTCATAATGATAATTGGATTTTTTTTAAATTGTTGCAAATTTATTAAAAATAAAAACCCTGAAAAATCACATGTACATAGGTATTCAGAGCCTTTGCTCAATGCTTTGTTGATGCACCTTTGGCAGCAATTACAGCCTCAAGTCTTTTTGAATATGATGCCACAAGCTTGGCACACCTGTCTTTGGGAATTTTTGCCCATTCCTCTTTGCAGTACCTCTCAAGCTCTATCAGGTTGGACAGGAAACAACGGTGTACAGCCATTTTCAGATCTCTCCAGAGATGTTCAAAAGGATTTTAGTCTGGGCCCTGCCTGGGCCAATCGATATTCACCAAATTGTTGTGATGCCACACCATTGACATTTTGGCGGTTTGCTTTTGGTCATTGTCCTGCTGGAAGATAAACCATCGCCCCAGTCTGAGGTCTAAAGCAGGTTTTCATTCAGGATTTCTCTGTCCATCCCTGCATTCATCTTTCCTTCTTTCCTGACTAGTCTTCCAGTTCCTGCAGCTGAAAAGCATCCCCACAGCATGATGCTGCTGCCACCATCATGCTTCACTGTAGGGATGGTATTAGCCTGATGATGAGCAGTGCCTGGTTTTCTCCAAACATAACACCTGACATTCACTCCAAATAGTTTAATTTTAGTCTCATCAGACCAGAGAATTTAGTTTCTTATGGTCTGAGAGACCTTCAGATACCTTTTGGCAAATTCCAGGCTTCCGTCTAGCCACTCTACCATACAGGCCTGATTGGTGGATTGCTGCACAGATGGTTGTCCATCTGTAAGGTTCTCCTCTCTCCACAGTAGAATGCTGGAGCTCAGACAGAGTGACCATCGAGTTATTGATCACCTTCCTTGACTTAGGCCCTTCTCCCCCGATCACTCAGCTTAGATGGCCAGCCAGCTCTAGAAAGAGTCCTGGTGGTTCCAAACATCTTCCACTTACAGATGATGGAGGCCACTGTGCTCAATAGAACTTTCAGAGAAGCAGAATTTTTTTCAGACTATTCCCTTGTCTTTATGCTTGGTTTGTGCTTTGACAGGCACTGTCAACCCTGGGACCTTATTTAGACAGGTGTATATCTTTTTAAATCATGTCCAATCAACTGAATTTACCACAGGTGAACTTCAATTAAGCTGCTGAAACATCTCAAGAATGATCAGTGGAAACAGAATGAACCTGAGCTCTATTTAGAGCTTCACATGAAAGGCTGTGAATACTGATATACATGTGATTTTTTAGCTTTTTTCATATTGTGATTATGGGGTATTGTGTGTGGAATTTTGGGGAAATAAATGAATTGAATCCATTTTGGAATAAGGCTGTAACATAAACAAATGTGAAAAAAAGTGAAGTGCTATGAATACTTTCCGGATGCACTGTATACTCTGTATATCAAGGCTCAAACACATGTGAACTGCATTCTTGTTTATGTTAATGTAATAAAATAATATTTGGGAAAACAAACAACAAATTTTATGGATTTTGACAGTTTGACAAGAGTAAAACAAAAACCATCCTGAGGGCTTAATTATGCCAAAACGTATGTAAAAATTATGAAGACAAATACAACATTTAGTTAACATTTTAGTTAAAAAATGCATATTTATATATTTTTATAGTTGTGAATTTTTAAAATATGATTATAATGTTAAAAAACATTATGTAAAAAAACTACATCTTTGTTAAGAAATACTCCATGACATACTGAACTTTTATGTCTCACTGCTTTATCATTCACGTCAAACCACTCTAACACTCAGTACGTCTATACCTATATGAATGTGTGTTTCTTGTTCCTAGAAGGAAGACAACAGAAAACCAAAAACATTCTGATTACACATGGCTGTGGAATCATAAACTAGATCTGAACTTTTAGATTAACTACCACATTACTGTAAAACAAAATATAGGCAATTTCATCAGGTATGACAAGAGTACAACGGAAACTCTTGCTTACAACACTTGAGAAGGAAAACAAGGTTGCTGTGATGTTGAAAAAATGTAAATGAGAATCGTTGTAAAGATCTCTCAAACTGTTTCTGCTCAGGCCTTGCACAAGTGCTCACTAGCGGTGGAGTATGAACACCATATAAGAACAGTACTATCAGGTACTATCAGGAAATGAAAGCCCACATCAAACAGCGCCTCCTCACCCTCACACTCATTCTCGGAGAGAAACAGTTGACCCGACAGAAGATGAAAAACAGCTCAGTGCAGATTCAAAAAGTGAGAAAACGCTTTTCGTTCGGAGAAAGAGATGATTGCTGTAACGTAAATAGCTGTGAAAATAATTGAACTATTAATGTCAGTTAACAAGCAAGTCAATATTTAGAGTGATATGATCAGAAACAGTATGAAACATCCAATGCTGAATCACTTAGTTTAAAGAAATTTAACAATTACACAATAGGGGAAATTTCTAAAAAACCATTAAAGGGATACTGTACTTGAGCCAAAAATGTTAAAAGTTAATTTTCAGACCCTCAGGTTAACCGAAATGTAGCAATTTTTTTTCTTGAGTGGTAGCATAACAATAAAAAAAGCTAAAACCGTGGCTCTTGTAACTCTGCTCAAATGGCTATCAGGCAAAGCAAAATTAATACATGTGGCTTATGAAAATACAAAAAAATCTTATGAAATCAAATGATTGGTCTGTGCAAGAAGATTGTTTAGAATAGTTGTGGCAAATAAAATTTGAGAAATCGATTCTGGATGGATTCTAAGATTTTTAAATGCATCACTATTCTCTTTTGAATTGATTCTGAGCTTGTGTTTAACAGCAGTTGATACTCGCTAGTTATTAACCACACACTGAAATGTTCTCGAAATAAAGCTTGTGCATTCTTATTGCAATTATGAAATTGTTCCATAAGTTGCCTTTTATATCATGAGATTAATGTAAACAGCTCAACTATGAACAGCTAAGAACATTTTTTAAATGTATAATTTGTAGACCTTTGCTAATTTTATTATTTTAGGTTAAAGTGGTGTTTGTAAGGAATAAGATGCAAGGAGAGTATGACTGTTTGTAAAGCATACAGTGCCATCTGCTGTTAAAAACTAAGCTAAGAATCAATTCAAGTGAGAATAGAATTGCATTTTCAAATATCAGAATCAAACATTTACATATTTTTATTTTGCTTGCAGCATACTGGATAAATGCAAGCAAATAACAGCTTGATAAACAATAAAACACACATGTCCTCCCTCTTCAGTGCAAACAAACAGCATAAATCAATCTATCTACTGTGCATTGGTTATTATGTATATAAAGCACTCTCTAGCTCCCGTAACTGCATAATATTAAATTTTTTTTAATATTCCATGTGACTTCAGTGGTTTTACTGTAATTATACAAAGCTCAATGAACCATTTTTTGTACCAAAAAGATATTGAAAAAACCTTGTTCAACTTTTACTTCTCTTTCTCGTCAAGGTATGCATTTACTACGGTCATTACACTGTATTGAAACATTAGAAACAGCAACGCAACATGCAAATATTGAAAAAGTAAATGTGCACCCTGACTCGGAAGACATATACTGTACGCGAACTAAGCCATTTTTACAGTTTTTTTTTTTTTTTTTTTTTTTAACACAAAAGTGTTTTTGGAGCAGTTAAACCACTGAAGCCACATGGCATGTTTTTGGTTCCTTTTCTGGACTTTGAACATCTTGGGATCGTTGGTGTTTATGGGGAGAGCTCTCAGAAACCATTTAAAATATCTTTTTGTCTCAGGAGATTGTAATGACATGAGAGTGAGAAATTAATTAATTCAATTACAGAAGTTTTCTTTTAGGGTAAACTAACCCTTGAAAATACTTGAAAAACAGGTACACCTTGGGCTTAAAGGGACAGTTCAACACAAAAAATGTTGTTGATCACAATAAAAGATATTGTGAAGAACGCTGAAAACTATTAACCATTGACTTCCATAGTAGAAAAAACAAATACTAGAGAAGTCAACGGCTACAGGTTTTCAGCTTTCTTCAAAATATCTTCTTTTGTGTTTAACAGAAGAAAAAAAACTTATAATGGTTTGAAACAAGTAAAGGGTTGGTAAATGTAAATTGAATTTTCATTTTGGTTGAACCAATACTGCTGTGTCAGGAGCATTAAATAAACAAACATTTTCACAGAATCAGTTTATCAATCGCTTATAAGTAGTTGTAGTTGTGGATTTGAGAAATTGTTAAAAAAAAAAAAAAAAAAAAAAGCCCGAATCAGCTTTAAGTTACATTTTAACCAGCTTGTAAAAGCAGGAGCAGCCGTTTCAGTTCACACTGAGGCAATCTGGCAAGGCTCTGCCAACAGAAAGGAGGGAGAAATTATCATGCAAATGTTTAACGGCACACCAAACAGAGAAGTAATTAAAGCAAGCCTGGCTCTGGCAGGTCAACATGTCAGATACAAAATGCTCCATTTTGTAACATAGCGAGGTCTGCGGAACAGGTGTGTTACTGTAATTTGTTTGAATCTGCTCTACTGAATACAAATAGACAGGCTCTCTAATAGACTAGCAAAGCAATACCACTTTTTCATTTTTTGTTAAACAGACAAAGCGTAGCTGAACAAGCAGTTTTTATCTAATTACGTTAGAGGTCTGTTAAGGACAAGCACATAAAACGTGCCACTGATCATTGAGATATACTGTACGACAAAACATGTTACCTGCCATTAGGAAAAAAACTGCATAACAATTATACATATTTAAATATAAAAGTGCATTTTATTTTCATTTTGAAATAAATAAGTAAAACTGTTTAAGTTGCATGAAAAAAATTGAAACAATGTGACCATGATTTTTACACACACCCACACAAATAATAATAAAAAAAACACTCCCTAAATGCTGTTTAATGGAGAAATTTGTTTAAAACCGCTTTTAAACATACTTGTTTTAATAACTATTTATAACACCTCATTTATTTTGTCTTGGTCATGATTACAGTACATAATATTTTACTAAATATTTTGCAAGACACTAATATTCAGCCTAAAGTGCTATTTAAAGACTTAATTAGATGAATTAGGCAAGTCATTGGACAACAGTGATTTGTTTTGAAGTCAACTGAAAAAAACAACTACAATTTCTTTAGGCTAAAAATATTGGTCTTAGCAGTTTTAATTGTTTTTATATTTTTTATTTCAAGCAAAAAAATAAATAAAAATAAAATAAAGATGAAAGATATAATAGAAAACACTGTGGAAAAATACCCTCTAATTATTTGAAAATAAATTTAAAATTACACAAGAGGGCTAATAATTTTATCATCTCAGACATGCAATAATCATACATTTTTCATATAGAATTATATATACATATTGGTCAAAGATTAGATGTCATAAGACGCATGCAACAAATAAGATTGAAAAAATAAAGTTTATAAAATGAATACTTAATGTTAACAATACCAGAAAACATATTTAATAGGTTGTTTTCAAATTACATTGATGACGCGCAAAATTCAGATGGAGGGCAGGAAGTGATTCTACATAAGATTCGCGATCAGAACATCAAAATGTTTCTGTTTTATGTTGTTTATAATTGTTTAAATCAGCTAAAATGAGAAATGCTGAACAGCTTTTTTAGAGTTTTAAAAGTTTTTGCTCAAAAAAGTGAAAGCTCAAGAAACTGAGTAAAAAACGAAGCAAAAGGTGGCGTGTAAAAAATATTTTTTTTCAGCGAATCCACATGTACAAACTTTTTGGAAAGCGATAAATCATTTGACTGCATTAATAAAGATAAAATACAGGCCTAGCTAAGTGTATTATGTTAATGTGTTCCATAAAAATCAGATACACCACCACAACTTACACAAAATCCAGGAGAACATAAATAATATACCCTGCCATGTAATCGCTGTAATGAAATGTCCTTCTTGTTTTGCAATAATCCATGTCTTTACTGGCGTTTTTGCAGAATAGTCAACTATAACGTTAACATCAAGATGCGCAGCAGCGGTGAATGTTTGTTGATGGTAAGCTCATAGACCGAACAAAAAAAAAATGCAACCCTTGCGACAAATGGCTATTATTGTGGAGCACTTTTCACCACTTAAAACAAAAATAATAATAATGTAGACTTAAGTTATGCGTCCACGCTTTTGTAAGCTTTCATCTGTTATTTCATGCTGTCTGGAAGATAAAACATTATTCGAAAAAACTGTAGTAATTTTTAATAAACATGTTTTTGACCCCCCTAGTGAAGTGTGTAATGTGTATAACTCTTTGTTGATGAATACTATAGAATACAGTAGCATAGTAAACTGATCTGTAATAATGCTGTAACATTAGTGTAAACTATAATGCATTGTGATGATTATAGAAAATTGATACCTATTAGATAATTTGTTTATTACTAATGTAACACAGCAACAATATAACTACTATGACAGTTTCATTCAAGTAATTATCAACAGTAAGCTTTAAAACACTATAGTATGTTTTCATGATAGCTTACAGTATCTACCGCCTCGATGACAGGCAAATACATCTTAGTTCAGTTGAAAAGTCGGCCCTCTTCATGATATAAGGATCATGCCCAACATATGTGGTTATTTTCTATTTATATCTCCCTTGAAATACGGTACAAATCCCAAAAATACAGACTTTTCTCTACAATATGTCTCCCATTCAGTTTATTACTTTCTGCCCTCCATCTGAATTCCCCATGTAAACAGAGGCATGTGATTGCAAACAACCTTCATAATAACAAAGTAACTACTTTAATGCTTACAGTTACTGTTTTATTTATCAGAATAAAATACATTTGACAAGACATTGTAATGTACAGAGAATATAACTAAACATATCTTTTTATATCTTTTTAAATTATATTACTGCAGGCTAAGAAATAAAAAAATTGAAATCAGCTTTATTAATTTATTTGTAAGAAAATGGAGGAGCTGCAGTTGAAAACATCGATGAAAACCTCCAACATAACATGTTTAACAGATTGTGACAAAATAACTCTTTAGTACATAAACTTGTGCAACCTTTCTTCTCCCAGTCCTCAAGAATCAGTGCCTTGTCAGTCACTAGATCAAATCTGTCTGAAGATTGATGCTCAGTTCTACTGAATGAAGGTGACATTCCACGCTTGCAAGCACATCAAAAACACCAGCAAACCTGCAACTTCCCAAAACTTCCAACTTCTGACAACATCTCGGCTATCTGTATAAACGGTAAACAGCACATTAACTGCAGTGTCCTTGCGAGAGCACGGCATGCAGGACGGGTGTGTTATCAGTCTGGACGAGTCCTTGAGCTGCTCCAATGGCCCTGACCGGTCGCCTACTCCAGGTCCGAACGGCGTTCCTTCTTCCACATGGCTAGCCCCTCCGCTCTCCACTCCTGCTTTTTATTTGGTCACTTAAGGTGTGAGCATGGCCTCCATTCCCCTTTTTTCCAATCTCCGCTCAAATTTATTGGGTTCAGAAAAGGCCCTACTGTCCTTCTGCTGCTTGAAAATAGAGATCAGAGTATCCATTACTCCGACAGAGATGGATGCGGGTCCCGATGCATCGTCCCCATAACAAGGACATCAAAGAGAGGGACCCCCTCTTCCCAAGCTGACCCCCGCGAAGATCTTCTCGCTCTCCCCTCATTATGCCATTCTCTCATCGCCGTTTTGATATAAAACCCCCACTCTAGTCATGCTGTAGCCTAACTACACGGCCATCCCATCAACATCACTTTCATTACAAAACATGAGATGGCGGGGAGTCAAGGACGGGGTGGCAATAAATGAGGGTGGAATACATCTGGAATCATTGTCATACAGGTTAAGCATTATGCGAACTTCATTCAGGATTGGTAAATCAGCGGCCGGCCTGGAGCTCATAACCCATGGAGGTAATAAAGATACAGGCTGCAGAAAGGCCCTCGGCAGGCCAACCAACCAGAGATCGCCGTAACGCGTAGTGTGGACATCATATCGCAAGGCCGTGCCGGAATTAATTATGTGCCTACGCAAATGGGACGCCATCCACCGCTCTCTTCCTTTCAAAACCACTTGCTTGAGATAATAGTTATGTTAGGACGCTTGTAAAAAAATATTCCACACAGTTGGCCTGTTTTGAATTGATGTATGGGTGAAGGTTTAAACGGGATTACGGGAGCACAGAGGAGATGTTTTCGATGGGGGACTCATTTAATATAGTCATGCACCATTTGGTTGAGAAAATCTACTAGACTAGACATGTTTAAGGCCGCAAAAACATACAGCGGGAGAATGGGTGGAGGGGTTATAGGGTAGACCTATGCTAGCAAAAGGGATTGCGGTGATACTCACTGTGCGGGGCCAGAGGAACAGGGTGAGCAAAGTGCATGGGTCCCGGAACTGCAAGAGCTAGTGGCTCGTCCGTATTACCAGACCGCTGGATGGCCAGATCAACCTCCTCATCAGTAAGACCTGTATGAGGAAAACACAAACACATTTTTGATAACAAAACCTGATTTATTCAGTAATAAAACTAGTTTCTTTTTCCTTTATCTAATAATGTTAATTCATATCAAGTGAATGGCATGGTAAAATAAACAGCATCAAGTGAAATTAAAGAATAAATGGTTTGATAATAGTTCGAAAAATGTTTGGTGTTTGTTTCAGCAGTTTGAACAGGTTGCTTGTCTAACGATCCCCTTTCAAACTACTATTCGTTCAATATTGTATGAACACTTTTCATAAGACTATTGACATGTTTAATGGTCATCAGCATCTTAAATCCCATTTTTTTTTAAACGTATGTACAGTTGAAGTCAGAATTATTAGCCCCCCTGTTTATGTTTTCCCCATTTTCTGTTTAAGAGAGATTTTTTCAACACATTTCTAAACATAATAGTTTTAATAACTAATTTCTAATAACTGATTTATTTTATCTTTGTCATGATGGCAGTAAATAATACTTTACCAGATATTGTTCAAGACACTTCTATACAGCTTAAAGTGACATTTAAAGACTTAACTAGGTTAATTAGGCTAACTAGGCAGGTTAGGGAAGTTAGGCAAGCTATTGTATAATGATGGTTTGTTCTGTAGACTACGGAAAAAAAAATGCCTAAAGGGGCTAATGATTTTGTCCTTAAATTGATGTTTAAAAAATTAAAAACTGCTTTTATTCTTGTCCAAAAAAAACAAATAAGACTTTCTCCAGAAGAAAAAATATGATCAAAAATACTGTGAAAATGTCCTTGCTCTGTTAAACATCATTTGGAAAATATGAAAAAAATCAAAGAGGGGCAAATAATTCTGACTTCAACTGTATATTGATATGTATTTATGTATGTATTATATCATCCTTGCATCAAATAACAAAAAATGTATTACGACTGCAGTGTCAATGAACAGGACAGTAAATTTAAAGTTGTTCTCTCTTCTGGCTACAGTTATCAGTCTCGCATAACTTTTTCCTTTTTCCGAGTCTCGATAACACCATCGTTGAGTTTTTCTTTTATTACTTCATCAAATATGTTTGTAAAAATATATTTGTTGTACCACATAATTTTCTTGATTTTTTTTTTATTAGAATGTTCAATAAGAGTAAAAAACTATACAGAAAAAGTATTAATCCTATAACAACGAAAAGAAAACAGAACAAAGCAAAACAAAAAGAGGAACAAAAATTATGCCAGGGGTAATATAAATTACAATAGATCACTTCAAATCTATCTTAAAGCAGGGTCACAGTGATCTACAATATAAAAGGTCACATAGAATACAGTCAGCTGGGTATTATAGAAAAGAGACAATACTGTAAGATTCACATAGTGTTATTGATTTTAAAACTTTAACATTGCTGAAGGTAGAGATTGTATCCAAATAACATTTCAAATCTTTACAAAAAATTAGAAACATGGGCTTTATAGACAAAAATGTACATTTGTGTATTGTATATCATATTGTATGACATATATGTGCAAATTTTGCTAGTAAAGTGAATAGATTTAGTAATTATTTGTTGTACTCTCCCATTCACTGCGCTCTAAATTTACCCAACTAAGACAACTTCCACTACTGAGAAACCCAGAAATGTGAAAAGAGTCCAAGTTGTGGCTTTGAGGCTCTGCCTTCTGTGACTTGAAAATTGTCTATTTCTTCTGTTCAGTCTGTCAAAGTTAGGCTTTTGTGAGTCAAAACAAACACTGTATAGTTGGTTTATATTAGCTACACAACTGCACTGTAATTCCACTGTTTTACTGTACTGTAATTCCACTGTATTCAATTGTTTTATATGTTAGTACAGTAATGTTGCTTGCTTAAAAAAGCTATCTTCTGTAAAAAGTTATATAAAAATAAATGTGACATGAATGATAAATAACAGAACACTTGCATACATCAAAATCAACATCATCAAATCTCACCACTTTTAATAAGGTGATTTTAGTTATGTTTACTTCATTGCTGGAAAGAAAACATGCAAACTATTTATCAAAATGGCACTATTAGCAGTGTGAGCAGTGAACATCACTGAGTCTACGGATCTTTATTTTGCTAAAAGCACCACAGATGATAATACCATGAATGTGCTTCATGTGATTGTAGATCTTTCTTTCAGTAAAGCAAAGTAAAAGTTATGTACTTTTGTCTTTTTTACAGGTTTTATTGTATTTGCTTTAAATTAAAGCTTGCAATGTTGTAATTGGCAAGTGTATGATATTATGATCATGTTGTAACCTTCATCCAGTACTCAAGAATCACTGCAATGCAATGACAAATACAAGATCAACCCTGTCTAAAGATTAAAGCTCAGCTTTACAGATACAAAAAAACAGGATGGAAACCCCAGAAATGAGTACATTTAAAAAAAAGTGTAAAAGGACAAGAAAAATTATGATATAAATGGAAGTGTGTCCTTGACTGTCCTTTGCATATACCTGCACACAACTCCAAACATCAAAACTCTTGCTAAACTAGGTTAATGGCACTATAGGCGGCAGACTCAGACCAGGATGAGCCGTTCTGAAGGTCCAAAGCTCTGAGCTCCTCTCCATTACCGTCAGATCTGAAGAACAGAGCCTGTCCATTTCCTTCCGCTATATTTCCCCAGGTGGAGCTCAGCGGAACCCCAGACAGATAAAATGCATTATTTTAATTTCTTCATTGTAATGTAAATGTATTACATAATTTTGCAAATGCCAATATAATTTAATCTTCAGATCTTTTTTAATGATTTTAGTGGTGATTAAATTGCATAGAGGTCCCTGATGGAAAACGACAGGAGAGGGAAAAAAAATCTAATATTAATATTTCCTTTTGTGGAGAAAAAAAAAAAGAAAAAAGAAAAGAGGCTGGTTTATTTCCAACACTGCACGCAGTCATCGGTCTGTGTCTTGTCTTGATTAAGCGACTCGATGCGGGCCTAAACACAGCGACGATGGGGACGCACGGCAACAAGAGACAGGAGAAATAGCGAGAAAAGAAAGACAGAGGCGGAAAAGGCCTGTTAGTAGAATGTACTTGTGCTTTGACATTTAATGAAGACATAAAAGCGAGGAAAACATTATGGGCTTCCTCTACAATTGGCACATAAAACCCAAATGCTTTAACATCTCCATTAAGAGCCGATGGTTTAAAAAGGCTCCAGTTTCTATTAAACTGTAAGTTACACGTATCAATTTAATAAATCTACTGTATCCTGCAACACACACACACTCACACACTCCCTCTGACCTTTGTTTGTCCACACAGTAGACTGGAGTGTGTCACGTCTGTCATTGCGTATTTAGTCTCTCTCTTGCGCTCTTGCTCTGTTTACTGGAGATATTCCCCCGGGCATCGCACTACTCTATTCCACATGCTTTCATACGGCACGGCTGCCTGCCAGAGAGCCAAAAGGCTGAGCTTTGCTCCAAATTGAGCTGTTTAAAGAGCAGACAGCAAGCTGTTTTTGCGCTGTAATACACACATCATAAATGTGGCAAATGCCAGTGCCACATGTGCTTAAATAGAGCGGAGAGAGCTGAGAGCTTGGCAGAAAACAGAGTCTGAGCCTGTTCAGCCCTGTCTGCTGTCTGCTGGGTATGAAATCACAGTCACACTTCATAGAGCCACACTAACAGCACCGCAAAAACAATACAGGAGCACACAAACGCAGCAGAGGTATTGATGCATGGATTATTACACTGCTGCATTTTGTGGGTTTCTGATAAAAGTTTTAATTCATATAAAAGCAAGAGAGTTTAATTTGAAGTTTTTACTTTAAATGTTTGTTTCATACAAAAATATTGATGCATTTATTTAAGACAAAAAAAGATTCATTAAAAAATCTAATAAAATTTATTTATTTAACCTAGTGATGACATAAATATAGTAAGCTAAGTGTTTAGAGGCAAGAAATATTCATTTAAATGATGACAATCATATCAGTTAATGTCCATAATTAAAAAATAAAGCTAAAAAGTGTCTTTGAGTGGCTTTTATAAAACAGCATGGAAAAATGCAATGCTAAAAAAAAAGGTTTAAGAAAATAAAAATAATCATAATATAACTAATATATCAGTTATGGTTGAATGATATTGGAAAAACCTGATATTGCAATGATTTATTTTTCTGCTATAAATATTGTGATATTAATACAGTTTCACAAGATAGATTGAATAACACTATTTGACTATTTTTGGGGAGACTTGCAGCATCTAGGTACAGAGATTAAATAATCACAATGGGGGAAAAAAATATTTTCTTACTTTTCTTTGTCTTGTTTCTAGTTTAAATATAAAATATATATATATATATATATATATATATATATATATATATATATATATATATATATATATATATATATATATATATATATATATATATTTAAAAAAAAAAAAATTTGTTTAGTTTTTACCCTCAGAAGAAATTGGGGTAAGTGAAATACTTTTGAAATTGCTTTGAAATGTAGATATTTGGACTAAAAACAGGACAAAAATTCAAAGTAAGAAATGTTTTTTTTTTTTTTTTTTTGCATAAATCACAAACAACATATAAATACAGTGATTAAACACAATTCTATGGTTCCTGGTCAACTATAATTTAGACTCAACATTGCATATCTTTGCGGATATACACATTGTGATATCAATGATAAAACAGTATATTGTGCAGCCTTGGTAATACAGAAATATTAGCTATATAAAAATTACTCGTTAAGAAATTCACAAAAATGTATCACCGTTTTCAAAAAAAAATGATTAAAATGCTTATCAATTTTTTTATTCTGTTCATGTGCAATACTAACTAGATATTTAGATTATTTTCATCTTTATTTGCAGTATTTTGTGTTAATGAATATGTGAATTATGAAACTGCCACTATGTTGTTGATGATTTTTTTTGTGCACTGGTATGTTTTATACAGTGTTCAACATAAATGAGAACACCCCATTTTGAAAATAAATATTTTTATCCATTTCTCAGTGAATATAG